TGCTATGTTAGTGACCGGTTAGGTCGGTATCCTGGTTAGGATGTTTCTATGTTATGTGATCTGCTAGATCGGTTGATTAGTTGTAAACTGCTATATGATTATATGTTTATGTGCACATGGTTGTTGGACTAGGGTTGGTTTGAATCGGGTCCTGATTTGTGCCGTAGGCCAACATACCCAGGGCGGACCGGTTAGATTGAAGGCCCTGCGAGCGGTCCGGATAGGTTGACGGCCCCAAGAGGGCGGACCAAACATGCCGAGGCTCGGGGAGTGGACCAGACAGACCGAAGGCCCGGTGCGGCGGACCTGTCATACTGTAGACTCAGAGAGTGGACCAGGTGGACTGAAGGCCTGGTGCAGGCGGACCAGTCATACTGTAGGCTCGGAGAGAGAGTGGACCGGGTGGATTGAAGGCCTGGTGCAGGCAGACCAGTCACACTGTAGACTCGATATGCATGGATGTTCTGTTTATGATATGATATGATATGTGTATGGTTTTGTGGTTGGTATTTTGGGGGTAACTCACTAAGCTTTCGGGCTTACAGTTTCAGTGTATTGTTTCAGGTACTTCAGGAGATCGTGGCAAGGCGAAGGCGTGATCGTACCGCTCCTCAGTTTTATGTTGATGTTTCTGGGATACTCTGATAATAAATGAACTGAAAACTTTTTTGTAGTAACTTAATGAATATGAGTTGTTTTTGAAAAGTTTAAATTGGTTGTAAATTTTCATGGTATCACAGTTAATCTTTGAGAGTAGTATAGGAACTTGTAGAGAGGTTTTCCTTTGTAAGTAAATGTCAAGCGATCTGGTTTGTTAATGAAATAGACTGATCATGTTGGGAAATATTTAGATTGTTATTTTGTATATAAAATTAGATTATCAATCATGCTACACATAGCCACACACCACACATCAACACACATGGTGTGTGTAGTTGTGTGTGTGAGTGGATGGAACATTTTTAACATGATAGCCATTATTGTTGCCCGATATGGACAACTTGGTGGATGTTTATGGATTGATAGATGATTCTCAGGCTTCAAAAAACACTTTTGGAGATGATTTTGTACGTGGGCTATGGGTTTTATGATATTTTTGAAATGAAGTAATTTTTTTGTGATAAACCTCCTTTACGTTGAAGTTTTGTTTGATAAGATTGTAGATTGTTCCTTCTTGTGGTTTGTCAATATGAGCAATAACGTTGGAGTTTTTTTGGAGTAATTGGCTCCAAAATCCCCCGTTCGTTATTTCTATGTAATCGTGTTTTACTAGCTTGCTAATAAATTTAAGTCGTTAAAAAATGGAAAGATATGAAAAATTCTGAAAGTTATAGAGCACAAAGTGGTGCAGAAGGTAGAGCATGGTGGTTGTTATGAGAGGTGGTGGCGACAATGGAGATGAAAGACTAGGGGTTTGTGCATGTATACGAGAGAGATAAAGATAGATAGATAGATAGATAGATAGAGATAGAGAGAGAGAGAGAGAGAGAGATTTGGGGTTTCCAAGACGACCATAACAAGAAAACGACTGAAAGCATGCATTTTTAATCCCACGGTTATCTGTATTATTTAATGATCTGACCTTAGTAACAATGAAACAACATTTGATAAATGTTAATGTACAAAATAATTAAGCTATATGTATGGTAACATTTATGGATCCTGAACCCTTTCAGAGTTTCGTCACTCAACCACCCACATGATGGTAAAATGTTGGATTTATATTGTAAGTTTGTTTGTTTCAAATTTTTGATTCACAAAACTCAAAAGATGATAAAAAGTAGGATTTTATGCTAGAAGATTGTTTGTTTCCAATTTACTATTCGCAAATACCCTTTTATGATACATGTAAGTCATGTTCAAAACACTATGTTTTGAACAAAAAACATCGTATGTCACTTCAAGCTTTTAACGTTTAATTTAAACAAAATGTTCTAAATCTAAATACCATATCATACGACGTTTAACAAAACGCTACCAATAAACATGACCGTAGTAATTATAAGATAAATACTAAAAAAATGAGTTATTGTGTTATAAGAAATTTAAAAACTCCACAGAAATTTTAAGATAAATATAATTTTTTGGTTATTTTGTTAGGGAAATATGTGGAAAAGTCCCAAAATTTTGCCTCAGTTTATGATTTTGTCCAAAATTAATTTTCATTTATGAAAAATGATAGTTACCAGCTATTACACTCAGTTTAGACCTTCGAACCGATAACCCTTCTATTAGCCGGTGACCCCAACTGACTCGTCCGTATCACCCTTCATTAACCTCCCCGTCATCCACTCCTTTGTAAAAACCCTTTCTTACCCTCCATCGAAGCAAAACCCTACCCCAGAAGAATCAAAGGTAACAAAACCCACGTGGTCCTCCAGTATCTTGTTTCCCTTATAATATTCTGATTACTTTGTGTTTTTTAGTGATAACGGTGACAATAGATGACTTGGATACCATTGACATGGAATTGGATGAGTTTTTCAAATAGAAACAAAGAAGTAGATGCAAAGATGAGTTCCTAAACACTCTCACAGACGAAGCACTTGAAAAATGTACCAAACATGAGATAAACCAAAATGGTTTTGAAGGAATCTCAGAAGATGAAGCACCACAGGAGAAGATGAATGATAGTGAGGATGACGATGAAGACAAATTGCAGTTTCAGTGCTCAATCCATGATTCGAAGGTGAAATGGAACAATATGAAGCCAATTCGTAAGGAGAGGTATGAATCACCACACCAACTAAAGCTTTGTTTGAAAAATTACTCTATAAGTAGGGGTTATCCAATTAGGTTCAAGAAATATGATAGTGTAAGGCTTATGGATGTATGTGCAAGTGACCCTAAGAAATTTCAATGTCCCTTTGTTGTAAGGGCCTCATGGATGAGCACCGAAAGATCATTACAAATCAAAAAAATTGTTGAGCAACATACCTGTGTTAGGAATGTTCGTAGTGCTAATCTGAAGGAGATGGTTAGGAAACAAAATATGAAATGTAAGGAAATGCAAGCTATTATTCAAGGCAAGTTCCATTTCAAGGTTTCATAGTCAAAATGTTATAGAGCAAAGTGTAAGGCAATTTCTTTAATAGATGGAAAGTTGAGTGATCATTATGCAAAAGTATGGGGTTATGGACATGAATTGATGAGGTCCAATCCGGGGAGTACAATTCAAATATCTGTCACTGTAAACCCTGATAACACTACTATATTCAATAGAATGTATACATGTTTTAAGGCTATCAAAGAAGGATGGAAAGTTGGTTATCAAAGAGTTATTGGGCTTGATGGGAGTTTTTTGAAGGGACGATGTAAAGGTGAGCTGCTAACTGCCATAGGGAGGGATGCAAATAACCATGTGTATTCCATTGCTTGGGTAGTAGTTGAAATTGAGAACAAGCCCATCTGGAAGTGGTTTTTGGAACTATTACATGATGACCTAGAATTACAAGGAGGCTTGGATTTATGTGTTATTTCTGATCGACACAAGGTAATGTTTTTGATTATCTTTATTTTTCATTTCATTTATACATGTATCAAGTAATTACTAATGATGAAGATGGAGTGAATATGAAGATGGAGTTGAAGAAACGCAAGAGGACAATGATGGAGATGGAGATGAGGATGACAAAAAAGGACTTGATGATACTCATGTTAGGGTTAAAACGAGAAAACTTTCTGAAAGGATAAATTGTGGTGGACAATAAAGGAATATGAATGGATCCAGAAAAACCTCTTACTTTGGATTAGATTGGTTTGGATTTAAGCAGTTATATGAGCTATTTGGGTAAATTTGTTAGGAATCCATTTTTGGTAAATTTGTTAATATGCCATTTCTTTTGTAAACAATATACAAAATGGTTGCATTGTTAACACTTTGGCTAATTTTGGTATGTTTTGTTGATGTATAAGTTACATCCATTTTTGTCATTATGTTATGTTGAAAAACATCCTTAACTTGTTCACGTCATACACTTACAGTTATACATTGCTCAAACAGTAGGTATCCATAAAGTCATTCTTCATTCTACAACCTACAACTTACATCCAACTGTCATTTAAGTAATCAAGATTACATACATTGCCAAAAGTTTTACAACAATTTAAAACTACTTCAACATAATCCACACAATTACCAACAAACACAAAAAAAACCTAATCTTCAATTTTTCACCTTCACCTTGTACAAGAACCTATTGAATGCCATTGTTGTGAAAATCCAAAACTTATTCGACAAATTCTTCCACGAAATCATTGTGTACTTGAATGTCATTGTTGTGAAAATCCATCAACATGTTTCTGTACCAGTTGTTTGGTAATGGGGGATCGACCCAAGCAAAGTACTTGTGATCTTTTTTCTCATCTTGTTATATAGGAAATAAAACCTAATCGGAAGAGATTTGAGATGTAATTAAAGAGGGTTAAGGGATACTTACCCGAAAATTAAGGCAGCTGATGAACCTCCTGCCAGGGTTTGTTGGCCTCCATGATGTCCACTTACCAACGGGGTCTTCACAAAACCATGTTGCCCTTAATGTTTGCCTTTGTGATAAGATATTGCTCTTGCTTCCCACTGAGCTTGAAGATGCCATTTTTGGTAGAGTTTTGCTTTGATGGAGGGTAAGAAAGACGGGGATGTTAATGGAGGGTAATAAAGACGAATCAGTTGAGGTAACCAACTGATAGAAGGGTTACCGATTCGAATATCTAAACTGAGTGTAATAGACGGTAACCTGTTATTTTTTATAAATAAAAATTAATTTAGGACTAAATAAAAAAACTGAGACAAAAATTTGGAACTTTTCCGCGTATTTTCCATTTTTTTAATATTACTTTTTGAAAATTAAAATTAATATTACACATGATTAATTTCAATTTTCAAATCGCACAACCTTTCGCTACCATCTTTTGCACAAAGAAAAAAACCTAGTAAACAAAAACCGGGAGATTGAGAGATAGAGTTGGCAGAAGGAGCGAAATCAGGTAGAAGCGGGAAAATGGAAAAGCAGCAGCTTCTAGAAATGGGTTTCTCCGACGAGTTAGTTTCTCAAGCTCTCTCCGCCACCGTCGGCAAACCCCTTTCTAGTGCCACCGAATGGATTCTCAGCCAAGAATCGAGAACCGACAGCAAAAGATCCCCAGTCCTTACCCCATCTCCTTCTCAGCCCAAAATCAATCCCTTCTTTCGTTTAAATTCCGCAAAGAAACCACGACACTCACCCGACAATCACCAGCAACCACCGGCGGTGGAGCCGGAATCATCACCACAACCAGAACCCAAAAAAAGGAAGCAGCCTCCGCCTCGCAACGAACAACCGTTGGCTGAGCGTATGCGGCCTCACACCATCTCCCAAATCGTAGGACAAGACCACCTCCTCGCCGATAAATCCTCTATTCTTCGGTCCGCCATCGACCGTGATCGCTTGCCCTCGTTGATCCTCTGGGGCCCGCCTGGTACCGGTAAGACCTCCATTGGTCGAGCCATTGTTAATTCCTGTTCATCATCTTCGTCTTATCGATTTGTTACTTTATCTGCTGTAACTGCTGGCGTAAAAGATGTTAGGGATGTAGTAGACGAAGCTAGAAAACGCAAAAAGAATACCATCAATGGCACCATTACGAGAACAGTATTATTCGTAGATGAAGTTCATAGGTTCAACAAGTCACAATTGGACTCTTTCTTACCTGTAATCGAGGACGGTAGTATCATCTTCATCGGCGCTACCACCGAAAATCCTTCCTTTCATCTGATAACACCATTGTTATCTCGTTGTAGAGTCCTCACCCTTAATCCCCTTCAACCCCACCATGTTTCCACCATCCTTAAGCGAGCTACAGAGGATTCCGACACCGGTTTAGCCCAGAGTGTAGGGAGAGCAATCAATGTGAATGATGAAGTCATTGAGTTTTTATCACAGCACTGCGATGGAGATGCAAGGGTCGCATTGAATGCCCTTGAAATTTCCGCCATTACTGCTTCTTCCCGCTTAGGTAGTGCTACATCAGACAATTCTGATTCTGCAGCGCTTTTGGGTGTCACCATTGAAGATGCAAAAGAGGCGTTACAAAGCAAGCATCTTTCATATGACAAAAATGGTGAACAACACTACAATTTAATCAGTGCACTTCATAAATCCATGAGAGGAAGTGATGCAAATGCATCAATATATTGGTTGGCTAGAATGTTGGAAAGTGGTGAACAGCCTCTTTACATTGCACGTAGACTCATACAGTTTGCCAGCGAGGATGTTGGGTTGGCAGACACGTCAGCTCTCACTCAGGCTGTTTCTTGCTATCAGGCTTGTCATTTTATTGGTATGCCAGAGTGTCGCGTCAACCTGGCGCAGTGTGTTGCTTACCTGGCACTTGCTCCTAAATCCATAGCTGTATATAGAGCACTAGAGGCTGCCACGAAGGCTGTTAAAGATTCAATTGGGCAAAATGAAGGAGTGCCTTTGCATCTGAGAAATGCTCCTACTAAGTTGATGAAAGAACTTGGATATGGTAAAGATTACATTTATACCCCTGATAATCCTTCATTGCCTCAGTCCTTTCTTCCGGTTTCCCTTCAAGGTTCTAAGTTTCTTGATTGGCCAGGCAGTTTTGGTGCTGATAAATAATATGAATCAAGCATCAAAAGGTTAGATTTTTGTGTTTTTGGAAGCTCTTAGATGACCTTTTCCTTATTATATGCTTTTGTTTCATCTTTTATGCATGATGTTTTGTCCCCAAATTTTGAAACTTGCATGTAAAGGAGCAGTTGATGAAAGTTAAAGTAATCTGTTTTATTGTGAGCTTTGACTATTCTTGATTCTTTCTTTTGGTTAAAGATATTGAGATGTTTAAATTTGTTCTCAACTTTGTGGATTCTTTGTATTTTTAAATTGGCTAAGGATGTGAATTGTGAAATCAAATTAATGAATGTGTCTGTAAATATTAAGTTCCAGATTCTGGGTGCTCTGTTGTCATTGATGCATAAGACATTATCTTGGTATTTTGGGCATAAATCTTCGTCTCAAAGTGATATTTATTTTGCTGTGAAACAAGGATTGTAATTGTGGTCAAATGCGTTTGAATTTTAATCAACATTTAAAATTAAGATCATTTTTTTTTATGCTCTATTCTTGTAAAAGAATAACCATGTATGGAGGCCTTGAATGCAATCATGACATGTGAAACAAATCCCATGTGAATCAAGTCACAAGGCAAATCTTTTTTTTTTTTTTTTTTTTTTTTTTTGTAATTGTACCTTTTTTGGTGAATAAATCACATTAATTAAAATTTAGAGTTGATGAGTTTGATTCGTTTTTGAAGAGTAGTTATCTTTTTGTGAAGAATATGATATTGAAATGTTGAACATGGTGGAAGATTATGTTGATCTTAATAAATTGAAGGCAAAAACACTAATATAACCAATTGACATTATTATAAGTTCAATTGTTTGAACACAGTAGTGAATATGCAAATTCAATAGTGTTTGGTGATCGTTTTTGAGAGGTAATTTTTTTTGTGATTTTCATTTCTATCCAAATGATTTTAATTGAATGGATAGGATGACTCTGCAACATTGACTTCAGCTCCACATCTCTCATATGGAGCAAGATAGTAGTTAAATTGAATGGTATACCCGACATGGTTCAGCAATTATATGTTACTTTTGAATCCTTAATTTTGAAATATGATTTTCAATGTCCCATAAATTACCATCCCCTTAATGAAATTTGCAAACATAATTTTGGTCATTTCAAGTTTCAACATAGATCAACTAAGTTGCAAAATAAGAAAAAGTGAATGTCAAAAATGGTGATGAATTATTTTTGTTTTCATAAAATATAATTGTTTTAAAAGAGCATTGTCAAAATGTAAACAACTAATTTTTTTTTTTTTTTTTTTTTTTTCAAATTAATCGTGTTCTGCAATATACCAGCTCCAATAATATTTTTTTTGAACAATTTTGTTATGTAACAAAACAAAGAGAATTTTTCATAAAAGTCTCCATATTTTTAGGTTTATTAATGATCAAATATTGCATTATTATTTTATGTTTTTAAAAGGATAGGCCAAAAAACAATACATATTTACATATTAGGACAAGAAACCAACAACCGTTTACATATTTGAGATTTTAGCCGGTAATTTTCAAAAAAATCTTATATCATTAATGATAAATTTTTTTATTAACAAATAATAATAGAGTATTGATATACTATAATCTTATTGTATTTTTTCTAAGAGAATATTTTTTGATTGAAATGTTATATTATCTTTGTCAAACACAGTATTTTTTTGTTATTGTAATCTTACAATATTCTTTCTTTTCCTAGCATGTCTTACTGTACTCTCAAATTTTCTTTTTTTCTTGAAAAAACTTCATTTTTTTTTCCAATGTATTTTTTTTTCTTTTGAAAATAAAATATTTGTAACTTTCTGATCTAGGTTTTAATTTTACAGTAAGATAAGACCGTATGTAAGACAAAATGATTCAAAAGATAATATACTCTATTAGAATGACAAAATACATAAAATGGTAGTAAAATAAAATTATATGTTCTATTAAAATACATGATGATTTTATCAATAAGGAGTCTAAAATATAAAGTTTTCTAAAATTTACCAACTAAGATCTAAGATTACTATAAATTTTTAAAAGTGTAAACAATTACAGATTTCTTGTTCGATTAATCGCTATTTTCTGTAAACAATTTTCAAATTTTTGTAAAATTCTTTTCAAAAATAAAAATAAATAAACGAGTCATTTCCCAAAAACAAAAAGTTAGTTGCCTAAAATGCTATGTTTTGAGGGGGAAGGGGGTAACGTGGAAAAAGAGCAATAGTAGGACTGTAAAAGGATTTTAGTTTCAGCAGTAGTTCCGGCGGAGTATCCATTCATTCATACCTGCATACTGGAAACAAGGATTAAGAAAAAAGGGTTAGGGAAAAGGAAGAGCAGAGCGTCTTACAAAATTGATTCCGATTAGGCGAAATTGGGAAAAAGTTGAAGAGTTGTAATGAGGAAGTTGAGATGGGTGAAGGACGACGATGGATTCTGGGACTTAGACGTCTCCACTCCGGCCACCCTCAACGGCATAGCCCGACCCGCACCCGGTGACCCCATCCCATCCGTCCTCGGATTGTCCAGAGGAATCCGTCTTTCAAGACCCAAACAGGTCGACTTCTTCCAGCGATTCATGTTCATGCCCTTTATCCCTTCCTACTCCAATGCTAGTCCTCATGCTCATGGAAAAGGCTTCTCGCTTCAACGCGTTCTCTCCTTACCTTTCGCCCTTGATCGCTGGTACTGGTTTCTCTCCTTTTCCTAATCTTCTCCTAAATTTACTCAAATTGTTTCCTAATTCATATTCATGAATCACAATTGGCATCTTTGTTTAGGTGTGGAACTGTGCTTGGTCAGTTGAATGTACAAAAATTGGCATCAAGTATCAAGAGAAATGGGTTCAGGCAACCTAATGATGAATCTCCATGGTTTAAAAACATTGCGAGACACCTCAGCGATAAGTCGTTGTACGCGATTGATTTCTGCTCAGAATTCTTCCTTACACCTGATGGTTCTCTTCAATTCAGCTTAGAATCTTATGGCGATGATGACTACAAGACCCCTCGAAAGAAAGCAGTTTTTAATCACAAGGCAAACATATAATAATCCAAACTTTGTTCCCGATTAGGTCTTTAACATAATCATCACCTATCATTGTATGCTTCTTGCAGTTCCCACATCATAATCTAACTCTAGAAGCAGCTTCTCCTGGACTTTTCGTCGACAAAAATGGTGGTTTATGGGATATTCCTTTGAACATGGCAATCGATCTTGCATCTGTAGCTTCTGACATTGGCCCAAGTTACCATATATGTGTCAACCATAATGCTGGTTCACCGAAAAGCTTTGGAACCCATAAAAATGATGCAATTCCTCCTGCCTCTATACAGCCAGGTTTATCTGCCACAGCTGCTTTTTCTTTGAAAAACAGTATCGACATATGGAGAAGTGAAGCACC